GAGGAAACGTGAGACTTGACAGCTACCCCCCCCCCCCCCCCCCCCCCCCCCCCCCCCCCCCCCCCCCCCCCCCCCCCCCCCCCCCCCCCCCCCCCCCCGTCCCAAACAGCCTATCTGTGAGTTAGCAGTGGCTTGGCTCTCGGCCCTGAAGCCCAAGCGTTGAGCCTTCAGTCCAGCTACCTTGTCAAAGTCCTCCTGAGTGGCCCGCATCTCCTTCCAGGTCTTGTTGAGGAGCAGGATGCAGACGCAGAAGAGTTCATAGAGAATGCGGTCTTGAGAGAAGAAGATGGGGTGATAGTCCGAGCGGGTCTCCGATGCTGGGGGCGGGGCGAGAGAGGGACAGAGGGGACCAATAAGATTCAGTGCCACATTTGGTCATGTGATCTAAATGTAAACCCAAAATTAGCCATGAGACCCAGCCTTAAAGAGTCATTTACGTCAATGATCCAATAAGCAGAGTAAAGGGGAGAGAGTCTTTATCAACCAATGCTCTCGGGGTCCACTCCCCCCGGCGTGGAGAAGCCCCCCAAACTCACACGGCTCGCCGATGTGCAGGATCTCACACAGGATGAGCGTCAGCTGGATGCTGCTCCGGGCAAAGGGGCACTCATGCTTGTCCTCACGGCTGCTGTTCTCCAGCACAAACTGCGAGGGTCAGGGGGTCACACTCAGGCCCAAAAAAGCCTTTCTAGATAAGCCCTATATCTTCAATCATACAATATCAGACTGTATCTAGTCTAGAAATATAATCATGAGCAGTATTCTAGAAACAAACCTAGAAGCCTGAGATGTGTCACCCCATCATGTCCCTCCCCTCGCCCTATGACCTACTTCCCCGAACCCTCATTCTTCCTCCTCCATTCGTGCCCCTTGTCCCCTCACCCTGCTGTATGCGTCGGGGTAGTGGGACGCGAAGTACGTCATCGTCTCCAAGGCCAGCAGGCCGGGCGGGGCCCGGAGCAGGTCCTGTCCAGGGTTGCTGTTGTTCTGTGGAGGAAGACGACCATTCGGGCTGACTGAATAGGGCAAAGGAGGACTCGACCGCCCAGCATCGAGAAGAGAGGAGGGCAGAAGAGAGCATGACGGGTAAGGGAAGGTGTCCGGGGGGCCGTCATGATCAATGAAAGGCTGCAGGGTTAATGGTGCGTTCGTTTTTCTCTCGGAAC